AATCTTGTCAAGCTTTCCCGTCCATAACCCAGAGAGAAGGTCTCCGATGTTGAGAATGTAGTGCATGAGGTCGGCGGGAAAGATTGTTGGTGCAGGGAGGGAGCGGGGTAAGCCTGACAGGATGCTGGGCTTTCCGAAGCCACAGTCTGTCTGACGCAGACGATAGGCAGTCTTGTTCGGGGATAGAAGGAGATTTTGAATACTGGAATTGTATACGTGGATAGATTCAACCGAAGATAACGAGTGACGAAGATCCTCAACAATTCTAACATCTGGATGTTCATTGGTATATGATGAGTTGATTGGTTGAAGAAGAACGGGATAGTATTGTGGCGCCTGGAAGCGATGCCGTCCAATCAGGCCACAGAAGAAACGGCAGGCTACTTTGGCTGAGTGACCGTTTGCGCCGCTCATATGCTGCTGTCCGGGCCCATCTGCCGTTGAAAGAAACAGAAATACTCGGGCAATGAAACATGCGTCTGGTGAACCAGGTGTTGCAGACGCGTCCCAGATGGGCAAACCCTCGCGTTGAATGACTGCGAGATGATGAAAGCCAACAAAGGTAAACGAGTCTACGTTCTTAGGTGCATTTGGACCGGGGATAAAGCCACCAGGTACAACGAACCTCTTCTTGTATCGCAAGCTTGGATGCAGGTCAAGAATAACCCAGATATAGATCCAGCAGTCGGAAGCCTTTTATTCACATAGTGAGTTCGGAAGCCCAAGCAAAATGCATAACATACCTTGTGTGCGTAAAGCTGGGCACCGTCAATAGAAAACATTAAAACCATGTCCGTTGGCTTAATTGTCCCATCCTTGACAAGCTTCGCATAGTCGGTACCATCAAAGATATCTGCCCACTCCTCCGTCCGAACACGCTGATGAATTTTCTCGTCGAATTTACGCCGATATTTCATAGCCTCGGCTGTCTCAGGATCGCGCCAAAGTGCTTGAAGGAAGGGGCCAATGGGGATTGTCCAAAATTTGGCTCGTCCTTCACGCAAAGGCTTCTTCGCAGCTAGCTTTGCTTGGTCATAGCGTGGCTCTCCGCATTCTGGGTATGGGCACTTGTCAAGTGTGGAAAATGGGCCAGTGTATGCGATACAACTATTTGGGCACATGTCGCACTCGATGGGATTGATACCAGTAAGCTCTGCAAGTGCACGTCTTGTTTGGTAGTAAGTCGGGAAGTAGTCGTCTGGATGCCGGTCTAGTGCTGCCTCGCGAATGGCATTGAATGTTTCGATCGTAAGGGGAGAGTCGGCGCCCATGAATGTCTTGAGAGCTTGCCGAAGACCGGGCTCACTTGTGTCAAGGCGCTGTTGCGGCGGGTCCCAAAGCCGTTTGTTGTCCTCTGGAGACAGCTGGCTGTTTGCCCGACATGCAGACTCTAGCGCTTCGATAAAAGCAAGAGATATCCGGAGCTTGTCGATCTTAACATCCTCCTTGGGAATATCACGCCAGGACGGGCGTGGCGTGAATTTGGGTAGTGATTCTGGGGCTGGTTGGCTTGGAGGTACATGCAGAGAGGGTATGTATCGAGGCGGCACTGTCTCGTCCAAGTCGGCCTGCTCTAGTACCGAACTGTGCCCGTCAATCTCACTCTCATCATGCTCCGACTCGTTATCTGAAGGTGGTGGTGGAGTTGGTGGGGATGTGTATGGCGCAAAGTCAAAGGTCTCGTCATTCAAAATGTCACTACCCTCCCCAAGTTGAGAGAGATCGACCTCTTCTGAGCCAGTCTTAGGGTTTGTAGCGAAGGAGGCCTAGTATTTGTGTCAATTGCATACATGCACCATTTAATCTGATTCACCTGGATAGATTCCTGCATTTCACTCGGAGATATGTGGCCGCCATCTTCGTTCGACTCCTGCTCCATCGAGAAATACTGGTACTAGATGGATTTCAGCCAATCAAGTGTATCCTGCGAGTCAATCACGTACCTGGCTGCTTGCAACCTCGTCGGAGTCACTCCGTGGCCGAATAACCTTGCCCCCAGTATGGATCCCGCTGACTGCAGTGAGTGGTGCTGGGATAGCGCGTTTGGAGGGCTTCTCTGCCTCGACAGATCGCGCTTGTCGGTGCCGATACCACGTGCGCTTAGCTACAGGAGCACCTCCGTGGCATTTAGGGCATTTGCAAAGAACCATTGGTTCTGTTGGGCCCCTCTCGTCCTCGACGTCGATAGGCTCGGCAGGAAAGACATAACCATCATCGTAGTCCGCCCAGGTGCTGTTCTGTGACATATTAACAGATGCCTTGAAGATGTCAAGCAGTATATACCAGCGTCATTGCAGTACAGCAGAAAGAGTACAGATGGAAGTGATAAAGTGAGATGAGTTCACCGGCACGACGTGACAATCTCGCATCATCTCAAATCATCCCGTCTTCGCAGTGATGGCTCGCCCCAATCCCATTCTCTCCCAATTCATCTCCAGCGTTTTTCACTGGGCCTCAACCGTCTCGCCTACCGTAAATAGATGTGTCGATAAGCAGTAACTTGAAGTAAGTTGCGATAGAAAAGAACATTCTGAGATCCAGGATGTACTTACATAGGGCGATGGTATCCGGTCCAAGCGGAGAACAGTCGGATAGCGGATTAACCACAAGTCGCAGCCATGTTCATCCTGTTCTGGTAACTTTGCTTGTCAATGGGTAGCATTTGCATCGTCAAGGGCACGAGCAGATAGCAAGAACCGGAATTACAGATCGAAAGCAGATCGAAAGCAACATCATAGCGACGGGTATGAGTAGTATGGGAGTCATGAGGTTACGCAGCGTGCGAAGGGGGAGACATGCAAAGTATCCGCCGCCGCAGTGCTTTGGCGCGTCCAGCGGTTTGCGCAATAAGTTCTGGCACCCGTCGCCGCGCTGGCTGGGCACCCTTCTCCATCGACGCCTGGTGTCCGTGCAATAATTCGGCTGGAACGCAGTGTGAGTTCGGGGGAAAACAAAACGATCTGGATTTGGACATACCCATGCGCCGATCATACCGCGCCGCGTCCTTCTCCGCAACAGCAGTCTTGTCCGCCTCTCTCCGCGCCCTCGACGCTGCGACGATCCTATGTTTCACGTGAGGGAGAAAAAAGGGCGCGTGGAAGACGGCTTACTCGGCGATCTGCGCGACCTCCTCCCCAGTAGCCGCGCGGATCGTTGAACGCGCTGATGCGGGCGAGGTTGTAGGTGAAGGTGACCGCCGTCAGGTGCTCTGAGGCTTCCCGCGCGAGGAGACCGCGGAGGACGGCGGCTGCTGCGGCTTCGTCCGTCGGTGAGTCCGCTTCAACGGGCCGGTCCTCGTTGTGGTCAGCGGTGTCGCCCTGCTTGTCGAGTTCAACAGTGTCTTCTGGTTGCCCCTTTGCTTGGAGCTCTTTTGCTTGTAGTTCTTTGGCTCTCCACTCCTTCCGGCGGTCCTGGCGCAGCTCGTCATCGGTCCCAAACGAGCTGATGACGCGGAACCGCTCGGCCTTGTCGAGCTTCGCAGACGACAGGATCCACGGCGAGGACGTGTGTGCAGCGCACCTTCACGGTCGCAAACGCGGTCAGGTAGCAGTCCGGCCACGGGAACGGCTGCGTGGCCATCTTCAGCGGTTCGCGCTTGGATGGGTGGTCGCTGACACTGCAGGTTTGGGGCGCGATGGGGAGCGACATGCCAGCGTCGACCAGCTGCGATGGCAGGTCTTGCGGCGCGCCCTGTTGAACGAAGTACGGCCGTTCTTCGGCGGAACGCGGCGCGCGGATTGGTCAGTGTCCTAAACTATAGTAAAAGATTAAATGGTGCCTTAGTAAGTATTCGACTATGAACGCACACCAGGCAGGTAGATGACGTATCCCTTGCTGACGAGCTGCGCGCTGGCGGGCGGTCGCCACGGGGTCGTCGAGGTACGCCGACGGACGCGACGGGGTCGATGGTCATGATGGAGAACGTGCCCCGGCAGGGCACGTAGTCGGGCTCTGGTTCGTTGAGCGTCATGAGTGGGAGGAAGGAAGAAGGAGGAGAGTTACCCGGCGTGTGTGTGGGCCGTACTCGCTACCACACGGGCCACGCCCACAGAGCAACGCGGGAACAAAGGCGGAACAAGGGATGGGAGTTGAACGTTGGAGAACAAGGAAACTTGAACAGAGCTGCAGACAGGCGTGGGAGGGTACACGAGAATGGTGGGAGTGGGACTCGCGCCAGCCCATCCAATCTGTGGGACCCGAACATCTCAGTGGGACTTGTGGATGATTGTGGTTGACATCAAATCAGCGATCAGACTTAGCCGGCGTCGCGCAGCGAGCTTCCGCGGCGAGCGGCAGCCCGCGGCAGCGTGGGGTCCGGGGCGAAGCCCTGGTCGGGGTCCGGGGTGGAAAACCCCGGCCGTCGCGGCCGGCGCCGCAATCTACTCATCGAAAGCCTCGAACTCCTTCAAAAAAACCCGAGAAATTAAGGAAAAAATTGTTATACCTCCGCGCAACGGGCCACGCGGCGAGCGAAGCCCCCGGCAGGGTGGGTCCAGGGCAACGCCCTGGTCGGGGTCCGGGGTGGACAACCCCGGCCGTCGCGGCCGGCGCCGCCACCCGATCAAATGCACTGTTTTGAAACAATCACTCGAGTCCACCACATCTCACTTTGATGGGCTGAGTCCCACCAAACTCGTCTAGCCGACGTCAAGCTGCACCGGGAGTGGGACTGGCACGAGTCCCACTCCCACCATTCTCGTATATACTCCAGGCGTGGGAAGAGGCAACACGTCAGGTCACACGTCATGTTACCTCTCTGAAAACGGGTTTGGAAGACCCTGAATTCCCAGTGTGATTGTGCACTCCAACCGTGACTGTTGACTCGAGCTCGCACGGGCACAGGGCGGACTCCATGCAGCGCTTCGCGGCGGGGGACGGAGGCGTCGCCGCGGCCACGGCCACGTGCCACGGCCTGCGGCGTGTGCGTGCGCGCCGATCAATATACTTATTTTGTATATCTTGATACTCTTGCTTCTCACCGTCATCCTCATATCGCGGATATGCCTATACGACGACGAACACGGCTTGCAACCGCGCTGCTCGCGGGGGTGCTGGGCGTGCTGCTCGCGCTGCTGGTCCCACGCCCCGGGCGGGTCGGGCCGCCGCCGCGCCCGGCGCCGGACGCGGGGGTGGGGACCGAGGCGAAGCGGGTGGAGCGGCGGGAGATCGTGACGGCGCGCGCGCGGATCGCGGTGCACGACCTGTGCGAGGCGGGCGTGCGGGAGTACGCGGGGTACGTCGACGTCGCGCGCGACAGGCATCTCTTCTTCCGGTGCGTGCATGTGACTCGGTGGGTGGGTTCCAGCGCTGACGGCTGCAGGTACTTCGAGTCGCGCACGGACCCGGCGCGCGACCCGCTCGTGCTGTGGCTCCAGGGCGGGCCGGGTGCGTGGATTGTTTGTTTCTAGTGATGCACGGCTGATGCGAGGCAGGGGACAGCGGGGCGGTCGGCGCGCTGCTCGAGAGCGGGCCGTGCCGCGTGGCCGCGAACGGCTCGGCGGCGCGCAACCCGCACAGCTGGACGCGCCGCGCGAACGTGATCTACCTCGACCAGCCCGTCGGCGTCGGCTTCTCCTTTTCTTCTTCCCCCGCCCCGCACTCGGCGGTGGACACCAACGCGGCGGCCGCGGCGGACGTGCACGCGTTCCTCCGGCTGTTCCTCGCGCACTTCCCCGCGCTGGCGGGCCGCGCGCTGCACGTCGTCGGCGAGAGCTACGGCGGGATCTACGCGCCGCACGTCGCCGCGCTGATCTGGGCCGCCAACCAGACGCCCGGCGCAACCCCGATCGCGCTCGCGTCGGTCGTGCTCGCGAACGGGATCACGGACCCCGCGGTGCAGATCCCGTCCATCGCGGAGTACGTCTGCGGGCCCGCGGCGGCGCACGGCGTGCTCGACGCGGCGGAGTGCCGGACGCTGCGGCGCGCCGCCCCCGCGTGCGCCGCGCTCATCCGCGTGTGCAATCTTCTCCCGACGGAGGCGACGTGCGGGTACGCCGCGCGGTGGTGTCGCGCGCGGCTGTTCGCGCCGTGCATGAGTAAGTCCCCCCCGCTTTGGTATCTGCGCTGAGATGACTGACGGATACCAGAACCGGACCGGAACTGGTACGACCTGCGGCAGCGCTGCGACGCGGCCGGCGCCGCGATCGCGCGCCCGGAGTGGTGCTACGCGCGCACGGCGGGGGTCGCGCGCTACATGGCCGCGCCGGCGACGGCGGCCGCGCTCGGCGTCGCGCCGGCCCGCGCCGCGGCCTTCCGCGCGTTCAACATGGACATCAACGCGGGCTGGAACGCGCGCGGCGAGGGCGTGCGCGACGCGGCGCGGCTGCTCGGCCCGCTCGTCGACGGCGGGGTGCGGCTGCTGGTGTACGCCGGGAACCAAGGTGCGCCGCCCCTCCTCCTGCGTGGGCCGGGCGGCTGAGAGGGACGGACAGATATGATGGCGAACTACGTCGGCAACGAGCGCTGGGTCGGCGCGCTGCGCAGCAAGCACCGCGCCGCGTTCGCCGCGACTGCCCCGGGGCGCGCGTGGGTGCCGCGCGGGGCGGCCGAGGCGGCCGGGCGCGTGCGCAGCGCCGGCCCCGTCGCGTTCGTGGAGGTGTACGACGCCGGGTAAGCGGCGTGTTCACTGGGCGCGGGGTGCTGACGGGGCTGCATTGCAGACACATGGTCGCGCACGACCGGCCCGCGGCGGCGCTCGTGCGTTCTTCCCTTCCGTTTTTATCTGATCTGCAGGCTGAATGGAGGGTGCGCAGGATTTGTTCGAGCGGTGGGTCGCCGGGGAGCCGCTGGACGCGTGATTTGTGGGTTCGTGGATCGTGGGGCGCCCAGGGCGAGGGCAAGGGCACGCTGTACCTCCAAATCCTATAATTAGACACTTCGTACTGCCCATCTCCACTGCAGATGGATGCCGGCGGCGCCCCCAACCCTTCGTAATTAACGCCTGACAGCAACCACCGCGGGAGACGCCGCGACGTTGGGTCCCCGGGGCAGCGATCACGATGTGGTGCCCGGGCTCGCGCGGAGCGCCGGCGGTATCCACGCACAAGTAGTATCCCGCTGCCAGCCTGAGTGGCTGCTCTGGCACTGGCGGGGCAGACGCGTCCCGCACGTGACCGCGTCTGGTCAGCGGAGGCGAACCTTGGGCGAACCCTTTACCCTGGGCTTACCACGCGCCGCTCCCGCGCTGCGAGGCGCAGCTCGAGCGCTAAGTATAGCTGTCTTTTGAATAGCTTACATGCTGAGTTGAATAGCTTACGGGCTGAGTTACAGCCCTGCCGGCATCATGATGCCGCGGACCGATCGAACACGGGCTACAGCATAACACCACAGCTGGTGGGGTGAGACAGCGTCTATGTACAGCTGCGGGGGGGGTATATAAGAGGAGTCATTGGGCGTCAGAATACAGAACAACACCCCGCTCGGAACACACAAACAAACAAGAAATACTTATACCGATGTCCTCGCCCTCGCCGTCGTCGTCCACCGCGTCCCTCCTCCCCCGGCCGCGCAGACCCGCGCTTTCGCCCACCGTGACCACTCCTACCGCTCCCGCCCCTTCCACCGCCCCTTCGCATTCCCCCTCGCCGCCGGCGTCCACCGCGCGGCCGTCAGCCACCCCGGCCCCGGCCCCGGCCCCGGCCCCGGCCCAGCACAAAGACTTCGCCGGCGCGTTCGCGAGCCTGCAGAGCGCGTACGGCTTCGGGCCCGGGGGCGGCGCGCCGGTGCCCGTGCCGGTGCCCGTCCCGGCCAAGACGGCCGCGAAACGGCCCGCGGGGGCCAAGAACAAACGGCCCCCACGGCCAGAAACCGAGATGGCCCGGCCGCAGCCGGAGGACGGCGAGCGTGCTGGGCGGACGCCGGCGCCGGAACTTGAAGGCCGCGGGAAGGACGACGACTATGTGTGCGCGGTCGGCGCGCTGGCGGGGCGGTTCGGGACGGGCGGAGGTGTAATTGGGGGCCGGCCGCGGGCGTGAGGAAGACGCGTTACGAGAGTGCAGGCTAGACCGTTGATGGTGATGGATACCCCACGTACTTTACTGTGTTATTATGTGCCTGTTATCAGCTTGTGGAATAATGAGACGCGATGGTCTTTTCGAGAGGAACGTCCGAGGATGGGTCGCTTGGTGGGGAGTTAGGCCAGGGACACTATCTGAAAGCGGGATTGTAGGTTTTTATTTGCAACGACGACGCAGCCCCGGCATCATGTAACTGCCAACCAACTCCGAGAAAACTGTTCATTACATAGTACACACATCTAAACAAGCTTGGCGAGCGAGATGGCGTTCTTGCCCACATCAGTGCTGTAGTACGCGTTCTTGAGGAAGACGTCGCCGACGAGGAACTGGGTGTCGCTGGTGCCGAAGCTGCCGCCGGTGATGCCGCTGATGCACGTGGTGCCGGTGTTGTCGACGGGCTGGACGGCGATGTCGCGGGGGTCGATCGCGAAGGTGGCGCCGCCGAAGGTGAAGGCGACGGCGTCGGTGAGGTCGCACGGGACGACGAACTGGCCGTTGCCCGCGTCCTGCGCGCCCTTGATGCCCGCGTGGATGGCCGCGGCGTCGGCCTGCGGGACGACGACGAGCGTGGTGCCCGTGTCGAGGATGGCGGTGCGCCCGTTGAGGCCGAGGTCCTGCCCGTTGACGGAGACGCCGTCGAGGGCGGCCTCCCAGAAGCCCTGGGCGTTGACGTTGGGCACGGTGACGAGCGTGTTGGCGTCGAACTTTGCGGGGTCGAGCGCGCCGAAGGTGATCTCGCCGTCGTTCTTGGCGTCGGCGGTGCGCGAGATCTTGTAGGACGTGATGGCGTCGCTGATGAGCCCTTGCTGCGCGAGCGCCTCGACGGGCGTCGCCGTCTTCTGCTGCGAGAGCGCCGACTTGGCGAGCCCCATCAGCCCGTCAAACGGCACCCGGTCGTTCGCGAAGTCGTCCGTCTCCTGCGTCGCGACGCCGAACGTGTGCGCTTTGAGCGTGAGCCCCGCGACGGTGATGTCGTCCTGGACGATGGCCCCCGCGACCGCGCCGGTGCCGTACGTGACCGTGAACGGCGTGTCCGACGCCTTGAAGCTGCTCGACGAGCGCGAGCTCAGCGTCTGGTGCCGCCCGCACCCGCCGCCGTCCACGCCCTGGCACGTGTCCGACGCGACCCACAGGTCCGCGGAGCCCGAGTCCATCAGGATCAGGAAGTTCTGCGGCGGCGTGCCCATCTGCACCGTCGCGAGGTACCCCACGTCCGGCACCTCCACGTTCAGCCCGAGCGAGTTCGCCGCCGTCGGCGCGTTCGCCACGGCCACGACGCCGTCCACCGCGCTGTCCGGCCCGCCGATCGCGCCCGCCGGCTGCTGCGCGGCGCCGTTATTAGCGCCGGCCTGGCCCTTCCGGCCCTTCTTGGCGCGCCGCTCGTGCGTGAGCCCGGTGCGGTTGAAGCGCTTGTCCGTCTTGGCGGGGTAGCCCCAGCGGTTGTACCGCCGCTCGACGCCCGCGGCGCCCTCGACGGCGAGCACGCGCTTGTGCAGCGCGGCGTACAGCGCGCGGCCCGTCGGCGGCGCGACGCCCGCCATCAGCGCGAGGCGCTGCGGTCAGTCAGCAATTCATAATGATGATGACGATGGGGCACGCACTTTGTGGGCGGAGTTCATCTGCTGCTGGAGCAGCTGTGATCGTGGTCAGCCGGGGGCAGGGGGGGAGGGTGCAGACGTACGATCTGCGGGTGGGCGTCGCTGCGCTGGGGGATGCGCGTCAGCGGGAGCGTGACCATGCGCGGCTGCTGCGCGGGGGCCGCGGCGGCGTTGAGCGCGACGAGCACGCCTGCCAGCAGCGTGCAGAACGGGAAGGAGAGTTGCATGGGTCAACCACGGAAGAGAAGGGATAACGGGAGGAAGGGAAGGGAAGGGAAGAAGGGAGAAAAGAAAGGCCGGCCTTGGGGGTGGGTGGTGCGGTGGCAACGGGTGGGTACTTATATTCGCCGCAGGGCGTTGCGTGATGCCTGGAGCTTCGATGGTGATGCATCCGTGATCGGCTGTGAATCGCCACACCGGTGCGTCTAAAAATAGGCTATTTGTAGCGTGCCCCCTCGCCCGGGCCGACGACGATGGCGCGCGCGTTCAGGGGGCGGCTGACGGTGCGGCGCAGAGGGCGTGCCACACCCGGTCGTGCGGTCAGCGGAGCGGTGTGGAGTCATGTCATCGACAAACCCCGCACAAGGATCGCTCCCAAAATAGACGCGACCCAGATGCCCCGTTACCACCCACCCGACACAGCCGCACGGGTGAGGCTGTTCCCGGGGACGACACCCACCGGGGGCGAATCGACCTCAACGCGATCCCACGGGTGCAAGACGCCCGTCGAGCGAACGCGCGCCGGGATCACGCGTCAGGCGTCACGGTCGCCCTGGTTGCGCGTGTGCGTGCCAGAACCAAGCCAGAACAAAGATAGATAGATAGATGGGGGGTCTGCGCTATTCCTGGCATGCATACATACTACTGCCTGATGCATATGACGTCGACGTCTCCATCTGCCTGTCGCGGTCGCAGAGGCGCTGGGATCGACGGCGGACGCAGGGCCGGCGGTTGCCTGCGATGCGGCGATGCCCGGGCCGGGGCGTGGCGCAGAGCGTGAGGCGGGCGGGTGGGCGGGCGGGCGGTCCGGCGCCGGCGCGGAATGCTCGGCGTCACGGTAGCGGAGTCGAACTGGAAGGGCACCGCTGGCACTAGCATGCAGATGTGTGTTGACGGGTACACTGGCAGATGAAGCTTTGACACTGACGATCAGGAAGAAGCCGCGCCGGCGATCCGGTCCCGGTCCGGGTGGCGCGTGTGCGGTGGAGAAAGGCGGCTGGGTGTAGCATTCTGGCTTCAAGTTAGAAATAGCGCGCCGGTGCTGAGCGGACAATGACCCGGGCCGTGACTCGGATCCGCGCTCCGATAGAGCGGTTTCGCGTTGGCGCCGGGACTGTGTGCGCTAGTCGCGAGTTGACCTCCCATTGCTATTCGTATTCTACCGCGGGTGGCGGACGGTGGACGGCGGACGGCGGACCGGTCCGGCGGGCACGTGCCCGATACCGTATACGTGGCAGGCGTGAGGACAGCGGGTGCATTCTGCTAACTTAAATCTATGTGGTACACGTATATACGGCCCGCAGGCGCGCGCATGCTTAGTACTTTGCGTATGATATCTTGAGCGGGGGGTAGGTATGTACAGCGTCCGAGTCCGGGCTACGGTGCGGTCAGCGTCCGGGCGCGCGATCACAGACGGGAGACAGAGACAGGAAGGGAAGAGAAACAGAAACAGAAATCGACAGCAATGCAAGAACGAAAGCGAGCAACGGATTTTAGGCTGAGCCCACGCCACCCGGCCGCGGCCCTGCGGCCGTAGAGCACCTGGCATGGCGTGGGACTGCGACTGGGACTAAGGCGCGGCGGTGGGGCCGGGGGCGACGAGGCCGTGGGCGGTGTGCCAGAACCAGCCGGTCGCGGGGTTGCGCCACCAGCCGGGCCAGCCGCGCTGCGCCTCGGTGAAGCCCGCGGGGACGACGACGGGGTCCGCGGCGGGGCGCGGGTAGATCGAGGGGAAGGACGGGGAGGGGCGCGTGTATTGCGGGGCGGGCGAGCGGGAGGGGGAGGGGCTCACGTGCTTCGACCCGGTGCTCGTGCGCGCGGCCTCGTACGCCGCGCGCCGCTCCCAGTAGTGCGCGAGGTTCGCGGTGGACACGGGCGGCGCGCTGTAGTACACGTCCTTGTTCGCTGCGGCGGTCAGCGGTGACGTAGTGGGTAAAGGGGAGGCCTCACGGTGCATGATCTTGGGCTGCGCGAAGACCATCGCGAGCGTCGGCGGGGGCCCGACCCAGAGCCACGCGTTGTTGAGCTTCCACGTGAGCAGCGGGGGCGTGTCGATCGGCGCCCAGCCGTCCGCGTGCTGCTGGGGCTGCGTCGCAGAGAGGGGCGCGGCGGAGAACGTGCGCGCGGCGGCGTCGACCGCGACGACGAGGCACGGCCGCAGGTCCCGCGGCGTCAGCGGGCCGCCAGAGCCGAGCGCGGTGGCGAGCGAGCGCCCGAAGCACGTCGGGTCGACCCAGAGGAAGAGGCCCGGGAAGAAGTCGGACACGCGTGTGAACGGGGCGAACATTGGGGGCTGTGGGCGTATGGGCGTATGGGCGCGGGCGGGGGAGGGCGTGGGCGTGGGTGGCGCGCGCCCGCCCTTTATACGCCCCGACGGGCGCATGACGGGCGGGGCGTGGCTTGGCGGCGCGGTCGAGTCATATTTGTTCCAATTCAATTGAAGAGTCAGGGTCTGTGATGCGCCCATGAGGCTGATCGTGATACGTGATTCCCGAGGAGAAGAGAAGGCGCGGGGTTCTCACACGCGCGGCGGTCGGGACGGTCGCGCCCCGCTATTGCCCCCGCCTTGTTGTCGTGCTCGACGGGCACCCATGTCCCACGTCCCCGCCACGCCAAGCCCCGCGCGCCCTCGCTTACGCGCAACGTGTTTGAAAAAAACCACGGGTTCTCACACGCACGGCGGTAGCGCCCCTCTATTGCCCCCGCCCAGCCTCGTTGTCGTGGGCGTGGTCAACGGGTGCACCGTCCGTCCACGTCACCCACCTCCCCGCGTCGCCAAGCCCCGCCCGCCCGCCCTCGCTTGGCCTCGCTCAGCCCCCCCATGAGAAAAAAAACCACGTCATCCGTGACACGTCACCCGTCACTGTCACGACTCAACTTGAACTCGAACCGTTACGTGTCATGGACCAGGCCCCTCCCGCGTCCTCCTCTTCTTCCACTCCCGCTGCGACAGCGGCCACCCCTGCACCAGCGCCGCTCCCCGCGCCGGTGCCGATCCCGGTGCCCCCGCTCACGCAGACGAAGGCCCCGACGCCCATCCCGACGCCGCCACTCACGCGGCCCACGCCCATCCCGACGCCGCCGCTCACGAGGCCCGTGCCCATCGCGGCGCCCCCGCTGATCAAGGTGCCCCGGCCGGCCCTGGCGGCGGAGGCGAAGAGCCCGACGACGGCGGAAGCAGCAGCAGGGGTCCCGGAACCAGCAGTGGCAAAACCAACACCAACACCAGCAGCAGCAGCGGTGGAAAATCCGGCACCGGCGCGGCCACCGGTTATACTCAGACTCGCGCCACCAGCCCCGGCTGTCCCTGTCCCAGTCACGGTACCCACACCGACGCCAACACCGGTTGCGATTCCCGTCACGGTTCCCACACCCACCCCCGTTGTTGTACCCGCGCCAAAAGCAGCTACAGCGCCCGCCCCGCTGCCGCTGCAGATGCCCGTGCTGCCGACGACGATGAGCAGCGCGACTGCGGCGACGATCGCGGCGGCCGCACGTGCTTTGAATATATCGACGCCCAACTCTGCGCCGATCCCGCCGTCGTTCTACCGGAGCGACACGACGTTCAACCCGTCGCCGTACCAGCCGTCGCGGCCGTACCCGACTGCGCCGGCGACGCACCCGTCGATCGCGCCGCCGCCGGTGCCGGGCGCGCTGTTCGACAAGCCCGGGACCGGGTCGGGCGGGGCGGCGGCGCCGTTCGACGGGCTGCTGGTGCACCCGCCGTTCAGCGTGCTGCCGGACGGGGTGCGGCTCGCGCCGGGCGACGTGATGAGCTACATGGTGCTGCACGCGCACCCGGCGTGGTTCCTCGACGTGCGCGACTATGTCACCCTCGAGGGCGCGCCCCCCGGCGCGATCCGCTACCCGCGCGAGCTCGAGCCGCCGCGCCCGAAGAGGCAGAAGGACTTGCTGCTCAGGTGCACGTTCTGTCCGCGGACGTATGCGGGCGTGAACGCGAAGAGCATGTGGACGCGGCATGTGAGGGAGAAGCATCGGATCGTGCTGAGCAAGGCGTGGACGGACAGCGCGATTGCGGCGAGGAAGGCGGCGATTGGTGGGTTTTTTTCCAGTGAGGAAGTGGTTACTGAAAGGGCTGCAGCGTCGGGCGCGATCGTGATCAACAGCGCGGGGAACGCGGTGCCCACGTCGCCGTCTGCGGCCAGCTCGCCCTCTACGCCGTCGCCGTCAGCCTCAGGGTCAGGGTCAGCCTCAGCGTCGACGTCGGCGGGCCGCGTGATGCCCATCATCCTCCCGCCGCGCCCCTCGCTCGCGGTCTCGGGCACGGGCACGCCGTCCCCGCCGACGAGCGGGAGCGGGATACCCAAGGTGATCATCCCGCCGCGCCCCGTGCAGATCAGTATCCCGCCGCAAACGGCGCCGCCGCCGCTCGTGGTGCCGCCGCTGACGGTGCCGGTCCGCGGTGCGTGGCCTCCCCTCGCGTTTCTGTGCGAATGACGTAAGCATGGAACTGACACGTGATTGTAGGGAAGCCCGGGCCGAAGCCGAAGCCGCGGGCGTCGCCGGTGAAGGGGGGGACGGGGCGGCCGCGGGGGCGGCCGCCGAAGGTGCCAAAGAGTGGTGCGGGTGCGGCGCCGGCGAGCGCGAGTGGGACGCCGACGACAAGGTCGACGCCGACGCCGGAGAGCAGTCCGGAGCCGGAGGGGGGGATGGAAGTGGAAGGGGAAGTGGACAAGGGGTGGGTGCGGACGGACTCGCCGCCGCCGCCGGAGGGGATGTTGCCGCCGAGGATGAGGCCGGGGCGGGCGGTGTTGTTTCGGCCGAGTTTGGGGGCGAGGGCGGGCGAGGATAAAGATAAAGATAAAGAGGGGAGCAAGGAAAAAGAGAAGGAGAAGGAGAAAGACGGGGACGTGCAGATGGAGGAGGAAGGCGCCAAGGAGGAGGCGATGGAGACGGAGAGCCAGACGGAGCTCGACAACGCGCTCGTCGCGGATTTGCTGCTCATCGACGACGGCGAGGGCGAAGGGGCGGACGCGGACGCGGACATGGACATGGAGCCCGACTCCCCGTGCGCCGAACCCGGGCCCGAGGAGGACACCGGCCCGCCCCCGCTCGGCGCGGCGCCCGCGCTGTTCGGGCTCGGCGCGCCGAGTCTGCGGGACCTCGCGGACCGGGACCTCGTGATCTCGCCGCCTGCGTCGCCTGCACCCGCGTCGGCCGGCATGGGCATGGAGCTCGATACGGAGCGCTCCCGCTCGCCGTCGCCGGCGGGCAGTGGGAGCGGGGTGCTCACGCCGACGCTGCTGCCGACGCTGTTCGCGGTGCCGCTCGCGGACGGGCCCGGGGCGGCGGGCGGGATCGTGCTGCGGAGCGCGGCGCCGCTGGGGCGCGAGGCGGCGGCGGCGCTGATTGGGCGGCTGCGGAGCGCGGGGGTGGCGGTGGCGGTGGATGGTGACGCGATGGATGTGGACGGACAAAAGGAGATGCAGAACGACAAGGAAGAGGGCGAGGGAGGGGGAGGGGCGGAGCTGGACCCGGCGCTGGCGGCGTGGGCGGCGGCGTACGTCGCGGGGCTCGGGCGGGACGTCGGGGATGCGCTCGCGGACGTGTTCGTGGTCGGCGCGGCTTCCGATGCCCACGCCCACCCGGACGCGGCGGGCGGGATCGGGATGGCGGAGGCGAGCGGGATGGCGTCGGCGGTGGCGCGGGAGGTGGGCGCGGCGCTCGCGGGGGGCGTGCTCGCGCTCGCGGGTGGGCTGGTGCGCGACGGGATGGCGCGCGCGGCGGAGGACGCGTGTGTCGGCTGGGAATGGCGCGGGCGCGCGCTGGCGAGTGCCGTCGAGGAGGACGGCGCGGACGGGGACGGGGACGGGCCGGAGGTGATCAGGCATCCGTTGGTGCATCTGGTCGTCGGGTGAGGAGAGGTAATTAGGTAAAATGTTCTTGGACGAATACTGCAACCGTGGTAATTTACGATTTTATGAGTTCGATTGTGACGGGCACGTGGGTGTGACGCGGCGCGCTTTCTGGATTGATTTCCGAGGCAGGTGTTGGTCCCGTACTGGAAAGAAGAATATGTGGAAATATTACCCACTTTAATCATCAGGGCTTACCTACTGGTGGCCAATTAGTATGGTTGGTTAAACATTGAATATATTCAGAATATTATGAGTATATTGTGCCCTTGGTTGATCACTTGAATATGAATATGTTTGAATATATCATGTTATGTTATAACTCTACTACAAGTATTATAGCAGCGTGACTCCGAGTCACGAGCGATCACCGACATTGATGTAAATCTAGACCGAACGTACACACACAGTCACACTGTGACCCGCCTACTTTCGACGCCCATCTTCGGATGGCCGACACTTGCCAGCCTCCACAACGCTCCATCGAGTCGGGCAAGCTGGTGAACAGCTGGCTGGCGGCGCGTTGCACGTTCGGCCGCTGGGCTCTCGGCGGGCGCGAGACCGTCACCCGGATCAGCCGCAAGCGCGTGGTCAAGCGGCCGGCGCAGATGCTGCTTACGGAGGCGCTGAACTTGGACTACGTCGCGCAGCACACCACGATTCCGGTCCCGCGCGTGCACCGCATGATAAAGGATAAGCATGGCAGGCTGTGCATGGTGATGGACTATGTCGAGGGGAAGGAGCTGGAGCAGGGGAGCTGTCTGAGGAGGAACGCTTGGTGTGACGCGTCAGTAGCGGACTTACCAACTATACGACTCAGAATCACGCATCAGCAGTATCACATCTATCAGATTAGCAGTATCATCAGTAGTCACAGATCTTGTAACGTAAAGCGTGACCAGTGTCACGTAGCAGCAACACTTAACCATCTACTTTTCCTCAGTCTTTCTCGTTCCTTCATCTTCTCGCGGACTCGTCCCGACTGCCCGAGTACGCTCAACTGCTCCCTCCTGCCATAGGTCACGGGTCGACAGTCGGGTGGCCATTGGAGGCCAATGGCCATCCGACCCCCTCTATCGATAACCATCGACTTTCCTCTCTTCTTTAGAAGGCTCTTCGCGACAGCGTCACAAATGGAGCCCACCGCGAGGGGCTTTCTTCGAACGAAGAGAGTTGAAACTTACATTCACTGGAGGAAAGTAATTGCTGCTACGTGGCCATCTCTAGCGGCCGGAGTCCTGCCGCTTAGAGTTGACACGCCCAGGTATCAGCGAAACGACACGCGTGCCTTGGTTACCTGATTGATGCTGCTCAGTCCGACTTCGCTTAAATTCGAGTCAGTAACTGTGTGACGGCCACGAAAAAACTTCACTTCCTACTCCCACTTCCTCAAGCCTTCGTCCGCCGCCATGTCGTCGTCCGGGCCCTCGAAGATATCCTTACGCAAGGTATCCAGCGCTGCTCCAGCACCCAAACCTCCCAGCAAGGCTGCTCGAGCGACTCCTAACCCGGAGCCCTTGGAGACGGATGGATTCCACTCGTCTCCTCTGGACTTGGACGACGAGGTCCGGATGCGGGATCCTCGGCCAGGCGCCTTCGATTCCTCCTCCCCCTAGACTCCGTTGCAGACACCGGGTCCACCTGGGTCTCGTTTGCACGTACTACCGGCCCCGCCGCCTTCGCCCTCCCCTCTACTTAGTGCCAAAGCGCCAGCTTTTCAGCCCGCTTTGCGTGTGGACGAAGGCAGAGGGCGGGCAGCTAGTGGCGCCTCGATCAAGACGGTTCGCGCCTCTGACGACGAGAGAGACTCGGAACGAGTCCATTCCTCCGAAGAAGGATCGGTATTGGCGTCTGACCCCTCTACGAATCGGTCTTCTAACTGGCAAGAAGTATCCCCTCCTTCACGACAGTCGGTCCTCCCGGTCGCGCCCTCGATTAGTTTCCGCCCCCCTCCTCCGCATCTTCAAGACGAATCTATTACGACAGCTCTACGTCCTTCCCCAACAGCTGCTGGATCCCCGCAGCTGACTCAACCGGAAATATTCGGTTATTTGGGCGAAACGCTGGGATTATATTACGAATCCCTAGAGGATAGCGTCCTTCGACACCACCAGCAGGAATCGGAACTAGAGAGCTACGACCCGATCATAACTTACGGATTGGAGGGTATCGAACAACTTCTGAGCGATCGGCGTTTGAAATTGCTCAGATTGATTCTTCAGAGGTACCACTACCCGCGGGCGCGACATGACTTGGGACAATTTGGGGGAAGAGGTGGATGCCATCTCTTCCATCCCTGCTACAGATACTCTGGCCTCGCCGGTATTCCCTCAAACGGAACCCAGATACTTTCGCCTCGAAGTCAAGACTTTCGCTCGCGTCGCTCACGCAGCGTATGCCCTCCATCAAATTATTCAAGGCCTTGAGCAGATGGAGGAATGCCCGAGGAGCTCCAGCTTTCAGGTGGACTATGGCTTCAAGCTTCTGTCAGTCCTGAACAAAGCCAGCGAGGCGGATAAGGTTCTCTTAGCTTTCGGATCCATGCAACTTAGGCTCGCCGGGGCGAAAGTACGAATCTCCCGTACCCTCAACCACTGGGGTAGAATGGCTAAACAGGAGTCGGAAGCTTCCCTCTCAACCATAGCTTCTACAAGATCGGAGTTGAGGAACCGCACTGCCGCCCTCGATCCGGAGCCGGCTTTGAGGCTCTACGTTTCGAGACCGGACTACCAGCAGTACCTCTCTCAAGCCAATCCGATCGTATGGCAGCGCGTGAAAGCGCATTACGAAGCTTCACAGGACGTTTACTCCCAGCCCTACCGGACAGATACTTGGCCTACACATCCTCAAGCACCACCATTGCCTATCAAGCCCATTTTTCCTACTACGACGCCTAACTTCCCACAAACTGGAGTCCGTTTCGCCAGTGCTCCTTCTCCTATCTCGCATCGGCCATTCCCGGCTCCTTCTGCTGCCACGCGTGCTGGAATCCAGAACGTGTTCGGCAACATCGAATCCTTGGGAGTTAACGAAGCTGGGGGGCCATATGTGCCGCTGGGAGGAATTGCAACGAACTCTCGACATTACACGGAAAGGGGGGCCTACAATCCGCACCCCACATTTGCTTCTGGAAACGTGCATCCTGCTTCGAACTCGTATACTCAGACTGCCCCCGTCTATGGGACGCACCATCATGCGCCAGCTCGCGGCTCTCATCCTCCGTCAGGGTCCTCCTCGAGTAGCTCGCAAAATGGAGATCCGAGCGGCGGTCGAGGCTACAACGGACCGCCCGGATCCGGGAGGACCGCCCGGACCACCGGGTTATGGTGGGCCGGGAGGTCCGAATGGCCCGCCTGGAGGAGGAGGATATTTCGGTGGCGTTCCCGTAGGCGGGGCCCCTCCTCCAAATCCCGGAGGCCCCCCCGGTCCGCCTCCTCCTCCTCCCCCCTTTGGCGTAGGACTGCCTGCTAACCAGCCGGACGCCGGCTGGGGCATGTACCAGCCTTTCCAGATCAACACGCGCATGAAGCAGTCTGAGATCCCCGGTTGGGACGGGAAGGGAGACTCTCTGATCAAGTACTTGGTCGGCATGAAGGATCTGGCTCGCAAGGGCCCTCTAATCCAGTACCAAATGGCTCAAGTGGCTCCGCAAAGATGGGAAGGCGCGGCAAAAGGATGGTGGGACGTCTTACCGGACGCTATCAAGGACATTCACCAGTCGTCATGGGTTCACATGCTCCGCGCCATCACTTCGCAATTCATGTCGTCCCGGTGGGAACGTGAGGAGATTAGCCGTTTTGAATCAATGTCGTTCAGACAGAAGGGCAACGAGGAGGAAATGCCTACGGACTTCTTCCAATGGCGTATACTGCTAGCCAAATTCCTGTACGCCACAGACAATGAAGCCACAGCCGTCCATCGTATCATCCGCAATCAACCCGATGCTTGGAAGGAATCTATCGACGAAGTCCGTTGCCCCACTATTTCGCACTTAATCATGCTGGCGGAGCACTTTGGCGAAACTCTCATCTATTCTTGGGAGTCAGCAAAGATTATCCGCGCTCTTCGTGATCGACAGGAGAACGGTTCTAAACGGAGATTCTTCCATACTCGCGCCGCCCACCTCGCTTCAGCCACTGGAGACCAGGATGGCTTCGAGGACGACAACGGCGAAGAAGAGGAGAAAGAAGCTCTGGCGGTTACTAATCCGCGCTGGAACTCTAAAGCGAATCAATCTAAGAGCATTTGGCTGAAAGGAGGAGAGATGAAGGGCGTCAAGTTCACCAGGGACGATTCAGTCAAGACCAATCCTCCGCCTAAAGGAGATTGCTTCATCTGCTCCAGCCCTATGCATCATGCAGTGCAGTGTCCTAAATACGAATTATGGGACACCACCAGATCCGCGCATTTGGCGGAAGCCTTGCTGGCCATGGTGGATTGGGACCGGGACGAACGAGATAGAATTCTACACATTGACTCTGAGAATGACAATTCTGTTGCCGCTTATTCAAAGTCTGAGCCCGAGGATTTGAACCGTATAGCTTCAGCCCTGCAGTCGTATTCCGCTCTGCACAAGGTAGTTCTAACCGTGTCTCGATCGGGTGATCGCAATACTCGCCGACGAGAAGAGTTGCAGAAGCGAATCCCGTCTTACCGGAAGGGGAAGGGAAGAGCAGTTAACCCCACCAAGGACGCCCTTCCCGTGGAAGCGATTGACAAACTGGCGAAACATCTCACTTCCCCGCTCACGGTAGACTCTGAGATCTCCCCTTCCGGGGAGTTGATCCAAGTCATCCGTCGCATCAGGCAGCTTCCCCCGGGCATGTCGTCGGTAGGCACGAAGGCTTTGCATATTCTGGCTAGGGTGGGGTCATCTACACAGCCACTCATAGTTGTGCGGTTGGACTCGGGAGCTGATCTAACGCTCATATCGGAGGAGTATGCAAAGACGGTACCTGATCTGCCGCCACCCAAGGAGGGGCTGCGTATGCAGCTTTACCACC